TCCAGCCATCAGAAAATAGAACTTCTGTGCAGCCCAGCACCCAGCAGACAGCAGTGCAAAAGCACACGGACTGAGGTAAATGATGGGGCTGGACCTCAGAACCTTTTTTTGGCCCACGAGCAGCGACTATAAAAAGCAAACAATCCACTCCTTGCTGCATTTTCAAAATGAATGCATTTTTGGTTTTACACAGTAATGTTGGCAGTGTGCCCTGAGCTTCGATTCCGCCCCGACTCTCTTTTATCTTCCACACGCAGACGTCGAATCGATACATTCTGACTAATGGAGGAACCCTCATTAGATCACACTGTTTATGTATCAACGTTGGCTCATTTTTCAGAGCTTTTTGGTATAGTGTCTACTATCTTTTCACTAAAAGTATGGGTGTGTTTTGATCACACAGCTGCCTGTTGCCACAGGCAGTCTGTCTCTGCTTTAAGTGGTCTGCACTGAATCTTAGACTCATCATAAGATGTTCCATTTAATTTTCCTCTGAAACTACTCCTGCCTGCCTGTTGAATCTTCCACAGTCCTCCCTAAGGCCTCTTCAGCTTTGTTATCTTCCCTATGTAAGGACTACCATCCATTCTGGGCTCTCTCCCCTACGTTTCCTCAGACCTTGGCTGCTAATGAGCCTGTGATGCTTGAAATATATCATTTTTCACTTTGATTTTTCTTCTGTTTGGTAGATAAATACATAGTGTGCTCTGTGACAGATGTCAATGATTAAGCTTTGATTACTGTTATACTATGATAGTCAGATGTTATGAAATGATCACTTATTCATATTTGTCTATAAATGTTGTGGTTGTTTGATACTATGTTATCTGTTCGATGCTGTGCTGTGTTGGGTGAGAGGGCTGCGTTAAATACTATCACCAAAATGAAACAGTCATTTTCAACTGCAGCACTATGAATGCTAACAGCGTACGCAGCATCACGGGACAGCAGAAGGTATTGATCAGTATCGTCACCAGACTGTGTTTTTTTCCGCCATTTCAAACACACACAGGGCAGGACTTGGACTGCGAGGCGTCTGCACAGAGCTTATCTCACACCAGGTTGCGAGGTGACGCATTTTGTTTGCACTGGCAAATAAAAGTAATCATATTTAGGCCTGCTTTGTTAAAAATGTGGTTAAAGAGGGGAGAATGAAGAATGAAGGGGACAGCAGGGGAACAACAACTCGGACAGACTGTTGGATTCTCTGAGGCGTGACCTGATTTATGCTCCGACTCTTCAGCTGAGGTTCAACACGAAGAGAAAACGTGAGCTGATGAAAAACTATGGATTTATGATGTTAAAAAAGCGTGGTATAAAACATGTATTTATCTACAAACTGAGGATGTGAGATCAGGGATGTAGAGAACAGCTTACTGTACATTTTTCAGTCTGAATTAAAATGTAATTGCCTGTGATTACACATTTATAGTTTAAACTATATATATATCAATGAAGGAAGACAGAATAATTGTTTAGGTTCTGCCTTTATATTACTTCAGGGCTTGGAATTCATCATGGATCCTCTTTAAATAGACCAGGTTAAGATTTAGACATTTCAAACTACCACATGGTAGAAAACTCCTCTTTTTGATATGGGCACAAAGCTGTGGTTAAAAAAACAAAACAACTACCTATGTGTGAAATATGCTGTTCTGTCTCGGCCAGCTTTATGACTCTCATGATTAAAACCAGGCAAACAACACTCCCAAAGTAAAAGGAAGGATGATTTCACCAAAATCCGACAAAGTGCTGAATTGTAGGATGCACTGCGCTGCTGAAAATGTTAGTTTACTCGAGCTCTGCCTAGTTTGTGTTACTGGCCTAATATCAAACTTCCAGCTGTAATTCTCATCAGTTGGAGTGGAACGTTTGAAACCTGTTATACCGTAATTGAACACTTGGGGGCAGTAGAAATAAGCTTCTATGAGGTTGGTATGGTGAGGATTTGCAAGCCAATTTAAAGCGATAATCCTGAGGCATGTCTCAACTAAAACTGAACTTCAATTCTAAACCACTTTGAATTAGCTTATTCAAACAATTTTCATTCTACTGTCACTAAATTTGCAAAAAGGGGGAAACTTTATTTGTTTGGCACTTCAGGCCAAACCATTTTGAAATCACATGACATTTTGTTTGCCGTCCCTCTTTTGACTGTCCTTGCCGCTCAGCTGTCAAAGATGCATGCCTGAGATATTACATTAAAACACGCTTTAAGTTTACCTTGCCATTTCAGGTCACCATTTTCAAATTTCGCTTTCAACAGTGCTACTGTGGGATAGAACGATGTGCGTTCAGTTGAGTCTAACAAGGAAATGACTGCCGGTGTCACCGGAGGAACTCACTCACTTAACTGGTCGTAAACCTACAATAAGATTAGAAAATATTAGATTTTTAGAAATATGACTAAATGTTTGCTTGACCAGTACTGTCACCGGTCGCTTTGTGTCCACATTAATACAATTAAATGGATGATTTTCCATAAGGCAATCCATTAAAATGCAACTCGTCGTAACCGGTAATTTGCGAGGAAGTTATCTCGCGACAAAGGGCGACCTCTTATCATAGTCTGAGGGTTAAACAGAGCCGTTCACTGCACTGCTTTCATTTGAAAAAGTGGACATGTTAAAATGGTTGTAGACATCTGAAAATGGCTTGTTTTTACCGAACTGTTTGCTAAATTATGCTCTGTCCCACGCTGCTTGACCTCCACTGCCATCTATGGAGAGTGCCTCCTCAGACTGCCGCTCACCAGTCTCACGGAGGAATTCAAGTGCGCCAAGACGAGGCTCCAGGTGATGCTGACTGAGTCCAAAGACCTGATGGTGAGAGAGAACGCCCCTGCCATCACAGCTGGCCGCAAATGGAGACCAGCACAAGCCGTTGAGGAGGCAGTAACAGCCCTCAAACATGCGGACATAGTGGGACATGTCGAGCATGGAAGAGGAGGGCTGGGACTAACTGCTCAGCGTCCAGCCTGGAGCAAAGCCTCTGCTGCTGAAAGGAGGAGGATGATTGTGGAGGAGGTGAAAAACCAGGAGGAAGGCATCAGGAGGGCCAAGGTGGTGGCACTTGGGAAGCAGGGAAAGTGGACCAAGTGGGAGAGCGTGGAAGGAAGGAAAGTGAGCTGGAAAGATCTGCGGAGTATGGAGTCAAGGAGACTCAGCTTCATCATAAGGGCAACATATGATGTCCTCCCCACACCCATGAACCTCCAGCAGTGGCGAGGAGAAGATCCAGGCTGTGCACTCTGCTCCAGGCCGGCATCCCTCAGGCATATTCTTACTGGGTGTAAAGTGAGTCTTGCCCAGGGGCGCTATACCTGGCGTCACAACCAGGTCTTGAAAGAACTTGCGGCCACTTTGGAACAGAGACGAATTGCAGCCAACTCAGCAACACCTGCAACACTCATCTCCTTGCCAGCAGTCACCTTTGTGCGAGAGGGGGCAAAGGCAAGTCACAGTGCATCCACAGCAGCAAAGCACTGCCAGTTACACACAGCTTGTGACTGGAAAATGTTGGCGGATGTTGGTCAACGCCTTGCCTTTCCTCCTGAGATTGTCATCACCACTCTTAGACCTGACTTAGTGCTTTGGTCACCATCTGCTAAGAAGGTCTTTATCGTTGAGCTGACTGTACCGTGGGAGGAGTCTGTAGAAGAGGCATACGAACGTAAACATCTACGGTATGCTGACCTTGCTGCAGAAGCACGGCAGCGTGGTTGGAGGACTGAGGTGCGCCCTGTAGAGGTGGGATGCAGGGGCTTTGTGGCTTCATCTACCACCAGGCTGCTCAAGGAGCTGGGAGTAAGAGGCCAAAGCCTGCGCCATGCCATCAGGGCATTGTCGGAGGCAGCTGAAGGAAGTAGCCAATGGCTTTGGCTGAAGCATAAAGACACCAGCTGGGCATCGAGAGGCAGCCAGGAATGACACAGAGGGGGGTACTTCAGGGACGCCTGGGGTTACCGTCGAGCCTTCCGGAAGCGTCGTGGGCTTAAATCGACGAAACGCTGATGAAGGGGGTGCCCACTTGATAACTCCTCTGTGTCATCCCTGTTGGCAAATCTTAGTACACGCTGGCACATAAAGGATAACTCCAACTCGTCCTGTGTTTCTTCAATCTTGTAACAGACATCCGGTCAACTAGACACGGCAGAGATAATAAACGGAAACACATTCTTTGACCAATCAAAAGTGACAAGTAGTTCATTGGCCAATCAGGATATTTAGCTCAGTTTACGAGCACTGCAGGATATTTGATTTTTTGTGTGTGTAAAAATTGAGTTTTACTCATACATTATGCTTTTACTATCTTGCCAAATACATATAACTAACTAACTAACTAACTAACATAAATGATTACATTTCTTAAAATTCCACTTTCAGTGATAAACATTTAACAGAAACGCAGTTAAGGACGGCTGTCTGCAATTTCTCGAAATATGTGGCCTGTTTGAGACCGAGCCGGGAGAGCCATAGACAACATGAGACAACAGTTTGATTGGACCACCTCAGTGGCAGGAGAGGGCGAAGAGAGGAAGACATTTTTCTGAGTAACCGAAAAAAAGTGATGAGAATGAATGAGAGCTCATTTATGTCTTCATCTGACCTTCGGGACGAGAATGTATTTGGATTTTAATTTGTTTTCAAATAGCAAATAGTCTACTCTTGACACAAAGTTGGCAAGACTTAAGTCTTGTGTGCCATATATTAAATAAATGAAGATAAAGAATTTCCTTTAAAAAGGAATTATGAAAAAGGACGCCCATATTCACATTAATATCAAAATGCTTGTACATTAGCTTTATATTTAGCCTTCTTATAGTTATATACACACCATTGGGTACTATATTGCTACTAATTTAGCTTAATAAAGCATCTATCTATCTATCTATCTATCTATCTATCTATCTATCTATCTATCTATCTATCTATCTATCTATCTATCTATCTATCTATCTATCTATCTATCTATCTATCTATCTATCTATGTAAATGCACTATAAGTCATTGAAAAAAGTTGTTCAGTCAGAGTCAGTTGGTCTTCTAACACAAAAATGAGACGAAAGCAAATTACACATTGCTCAGCTGAAGTAAACAATGATGTTTTATTGATAAGCTTCTCAGACGAGTCTTGTTTCAGTGAATGTATAAGAATCACCCTCCGATAATACTGATTTGGTACATCATGACATCCAGCAGGAGTCTCCTCACAGTGAGAGGGATCCATTACTGCTACTGCTGTTGGGTTTTGCTTCCAAAACAAAAAGAAACAATCAAAAACAACAAACTGGGGACTGATATATTAGATAATGGAGTATTAGAGTGCCACAAAACTCTAGAGTAGTAAGACCAGCTAAAGATTTTGCACATTACAAGCCACTTCCTCTTAGAAATATAAAACTTGATATTCTGAACAATATTCTACTGTGCTGCATAAAGGTAAGTCTATACACTGTACATCGAAATATACTTCGAAAAAACAGATTTCACAGTTTTAAAGACTTTATTTAAAGTATAAACTGCTTTTTTAAAACACTTTATTACATAAATTACTCTTTTTGACGGTGACTATTATTTGCCCTGTCAGCAAACTGAAAATGAATACAAAAACAAAATGAACATTTATTACATATTTTACAAAAGAAAAAAAAAAAAAGCTCATCCATCAAATGTTCTTTTCGAATAGAACTGGTGACTCATTCATGATTGTCAGATAGTACTAATAATAAATAAATAAAGAATGACGTAAAATAAATACTAACTAAGCATGTTTTCCGGACTCTGTGGGTGTTGTGTTTGATCGCTCTGTACAGAAGTGCCTTGGTGAAAGTCTCACAATTCTACCTCGACTGAAACGTACAAAACTACGGCATCTACATTATACGCAACATCCTGAAATTTAGTGTAGGCTGACACATACGTAGTAATATGATTCTTCTCCCCCTGTTGCAAAATAAACAATGCTGTGTGAATCCACTGTCCACAAATATAGCCATCACGTTTTTTATTTTCTTTTGTTTTTTTAAAAAGTTTATCCTCTAGTCCATCCAGAGCTCGGGTTTTTCCAAAGATGCCGTTAATCCTGTGTGTCGGTCGGTTTGATGTGTGCTGTCATGGCAGCGTTGGACAGGTCCGTGGTGGACAATGGGAGGCCTGAGACAGGGAGACGACTCACTTTTGGGGTTGCCTTATATGCCACGGTTCATGATGTCCGCCCTTGATGTGTGGTGGTAATGGCTGCACTCTGGAGTGGCTTGGTCTCCGCTTTGGTCCCTTTGCCTTAAGTATATATTAGAGACAGACAAGCCTTAAACACAGAGACACCACACTGAAAGTCATCCTCGTGATCAGACGCTATCGTGGCCGTTCTCGGTGTGACCCAAAAAATATGGGCGAAAATATCACTATCTTTTTTAAAAAGGGGAATCTTCTTATTCATTAAGCGACAGTTCTTAAAGTTCTTCAGTGCTTTTTCAGTTGTTCAAAGTTTTTTCAAAAAAGAAAATTAAAAAAAAAAAAAGTTTGACTAAATTCTTGATTCTTTTTTTCTTTTTGCCTGTGGCAGTAAAATTAACAATCTGTTTTTTGTTTTTTTGTCAGTCATTCTTTTCAAAAGTCCCTGCAGCATTCCGTGAATAACCCCAATGGTTGGTAAATTCTCCACAGGTTTTATAGGAGGAGTAAGGTCGAGGAGGCTGGGTAGGGAGAAAGGATCTGAATTCAGAGATGTTAAAGCGGGGCCCATGGAGGAGTCTGCCCTTCAAGGTGAGTTCAGGAGGGCTGTTACCTCCTGCCCATCTCGTTCTGTCGGAGAAACTGGATGTTGTTGCTGCTGTCGGCCAGTTCTGGGTACTGCTCCACGGGCAGTACGTAGTAGCCGTCGTAGCCCTGTACTCGTCCTGTCGTGAGCAGCTGCTGTCTCTCCCCTTCCGTCCAGAGGCGACTGCCTCCCTTCCCGTCCCTCGCCCGCTGCTGCTCTTTGGCCCAGCCTCCGGCCAGGGCCCTCTGCCTGGCCAGTTCCAACAGTCTTACCTTCTCCTCGTCCACCACGTCCGCGGCGAGCCCGTACCGAACGCTCAGAACCAACGAGGGAACGGCGAACTCCACAGTCACGCCTCTCCTCGACCGGCCGCTCACCGTCACGTTGATACCGCTCTCCAGCGACTTACGGCCGTTGGTGAGCCCCAGGGCAAGCAGGTCGCTGTCCGCCGAGCCCACCTTCACAAAATAGTGGCAGTCCTTTCCGTCCTGGGTGTAGTGGGTGCCTTCGAGGTACTGGGCACCATTGAGCACCAGAGCCACTTTGCGACTGTCTTCGCTGGCCAGCGCCGAGACGCTGGCCACCACTCGGCCCTCCTTCAGAGCCAGCATTACTCCTCGGCCGATTATCGGGGTGCTGGTGCCGAACCAGTGGCCGGGCTTGTCCTTACGCCTGCGGCGCTCCTTGTTGAGCAGGCGGCCCTCGAGGGCCATGAAAGCCTGGTTGTGGCGCTCTGCTGCCTGCTGAACACCAGTGATGAGCTGCACCCAAAGGTAAAGAGGGGGGGAATTGGATGACTGTTAACTGCATTCACATAACATTTCGGAGGAAACAGTGCGTTCACTTTGAGAGAGTGGTTCAGTACCTGTCCATTCTCACAGTGCTGGGTGGCCTGCAGCTCATAGGGGGGCTCCACAAAGTAGAGGGAGTGGCGGGGGAACCCTGGGATTATATTGCTGAGCTGGAATCCGAACATCACGAGCCAGCTCTTCACATCTACGACAGACAAGGAAGGACATAATGTGCTTGACATTTTAACACAGTAGCAAATGCATCACCATTTTGTTTAAAAAAAGGCACAAATGTGTTGGTGTCTATGACTCATCTGTTCTCATTCACCGCTATCAACAACTCTGCCATCTGTGGAACATTCATTTTTATTGTTTCTCCTGGACAAGGAAGATCGCTGACAGTTTTAAGATGTAAATAAAGCTTAACCAGCGTTTGCTGAGTTTAAGTGACGTGCTTTTCGGTGTCTAGTCTCCCCCATCTCAAGGAGATTCGAATCCTTCTTTTACATTGAGAATAATATACACACAACAGAATTTCATATATACCTGTGACATAGTTTTTGACATCCAACATGTCACTCAGAGGGTTGTTGTTCTTGAACATGTAAAGATTAAATGGCGAGGGATCTTTTCCTATCTTGGGCCAGATGCTGTAGTCAGGGGAAGTCCATCGTCCAGCCAAAACATCGTAGTCCCGTTGGGTAAAGTGGACCAGCTTAGTCAGGGAGTCGTACAGACCACCGTGGAAACCCACAACTAACTGGAACTCTGGGTTTGAGTCGAGGTATACTTCCCCGTACGCTGTGTACTGCACCTGGGTGACAAAAGCAGAGTCAATTTGCTTGAAGCGATGGATTCTTTCTTTTGCAGTTTCAAGGCAACAGATCATGGCTCCTGAAATCGATTAAAAGTTGCTGCCGCTTTAAAGATAGTCGCAAGAACTTTATCAAGGTGTTAGTTTTAGCTCACAGAGCTTTTTCAATTTGATTTCCCTTTGCTTTTTGTTTTGCTCGGAAGAGATTATAAAATCTCTACTTTGAGAGACTCCTAGGCAAGATGCTTCAAACACAAATTCACATAAAAGCTTCACATAAAAATCTATTTCAAATATTAGACTATTATAAAATGACACATGGGGGTAAAGAACAAAAGACCATATCAACTAAATCCAGTATATTTTTGCAATTAAATACCAACAGATTTTTGGGAAGTTCTTTTGATATGGCAAAAATTGAAAGAAAACGGTGTTGTTGCAGATTTGTATGTTACCTGTTTGATCATCTGTCCATTGCTGCTGAAGACTGCCAGTGGTGTGCCAGTGTTGTCAGAGGCTATGTAATATTCCTCTCCACTGCTCACCTCCATTGCAAATAAGTGACCCTAATAATGAAATAGAGAGATTTATTGGTTTTTAGTTTTAGTATCTCTCTTGTTTTGGGATAAGGTTTTTGCCTTTTTCATGAGTATGTCAGCCCATTTTGTCCTCAGATGGATTTTTAAAAATTTACCAGACAGATGTCTGCCAGCCTGGATGAAAGTAAACAAATAAATGAATAACTAAAACAAGTTTTAGTTATTCATGGAGTAGGAGCTTCTCATCCGAAAACTAATGACGTTATCTTTATAGTTTGGGTTGGTTATCTAACCCTAACTCTACAGAGAGTAGCTTCTAAATTCAGGATTATGTCAGAAAACACATATAGTTGTGGAAATGGGTATGTTCTTTTTCATTCAAAAGATTCTGTATCAAGAAACCGAAACAACCAAGAATACTGCTGAAACAAGTACAATTCTATAAAGTATTGTTCACAGCACTGTTAAAACTGAAAAGATGTGATGAATCATCATCTTTGAGGAAGAAATGTGGCTGGAAGAAAACCTTTGAAGATTGTGACTGAAGGTAATTTAAACTTTTGCTGAATATAATTCGACAAAAAAGGAAACTGCAGTGCTAAATAATGACAGTAAGCGAGAGCATTTCCACACTCTGCAACATGAGGATGACTGAAGACACCGGGAATAAACAGCTGTGTAGCCTTTTAGAAATAAATAAATCAGAGAAAGAGTGTGATCAGGGAAAGAGCAGCAGCAGCAGCGGCATCCTGCCAAGTATCTACCGTATAAGCCTGTGGGGGCATTGAATAAATGGAACTCCGGATGGAAATAAATGCTGAAATGTTGTATAAGCTCACTGAAAAAAAAAAACCCCACAGGAACTGTGGAGGTGAAAGTCTAACAAAATATTAAGAGTGCGACTTTGGTTTGGCTAGGTAGTGTTTACACATCCAAAGAGTGAATACGGGACATCTGACCACTCTGGTTTGTACCTGCAGATCATAGTAGAGAGATGAGATGTCGGAGCTGGAATGATTGAAGATGTGCGTCACCCTGGTCGGATAGTTGAGGTCAGCGTAGAAGAACTGAAGGTGCTGCCCCAGGCTGTTCCTGGTGGACACCCTGCGGCCGAGCCCATCGTAGTGATAAACCACGCTCCAGCCCCCGGGCCCTCTGTTGTAGGCCCGCAGGAGCTGACCTTTGGAATTGTAGTCAAAAACGTCGGAGCCGCGCTGGCTGAGGAAGCCGTCCTCGTCCAGGCGGTACTGGACATCCCCCAGGCGGGTGATGCGGTCCCTCAGGTCGTAGCGGAGCGGCAGGATCCGAGCACTGTTGCCGGGATTCAGCAGGTGGAGGTTCCCGTTTAGGTCGTAGCTGTACCGCCAGGTTGACCAGTCATTAACCTGAATTAGAGAGTGAGATTTGATGCAGTGATTCGACCAGTTTCAGCCCTCATTTCAAACGAGACTCTGCTATGATTACGGCAATGTCAGCGGCAGCCTAAAGGTGAGGCGGATTTAAATTCCACTCCCTTCCTGTAGAATATTCACCTTGACACCGCTGAGCTGTCCATCTCCGTCATAGTCATAGCGGTACTGAGTGGTGTTGGCATAGGGCCCGATCTTCAGCTCTCTCTTCACCACTCGTCCCATGCTGTCATACTGTACTGTCATCCAGTACATTAGTGAACGGAAGATCTCATACTGGACCTCCTTGATGCGACCATGGGTGTCGAAATGCTTACTCAGAGTCATTACGGCTGTCGTGATGATCTGATTAATGTCATAGTAAATGACTCCGAATTTTCCAAAGTGCTCCACCTACAGCAAACAGAGAGGTTTACAGGAAAAATGAGTCCACTGAATGGAAATCATGGTTTTTCCTGACATTCGATAAGGATTTAAAACGACATGTTTTGCACAATGTAGCTAAAAAAGGCAGCTCAAACCAGACCAAAGCAAAAAATAAAAAGTTTCCACACCTTTCCGGAGATCTCATCGTATCGGTAGAGGTCCACGGGCAGAGGCGTCTCACTGATGACGGGCTTCATGCTGGCAATGCGGAAACTGTTGTCATGGTAGGTGTAATCAAACCTGGCATTCACCATCCCCTCCTCGCTGAAGCGATAGATCTGCTTGTCAATAAGAGGCCCCATCTTGCGATAGCGGATAGTGCAGGAAAAGCCCCCGCTCTGCAGGTTGACCATCTTCAGCACGCCGGCCGTCTCGTCGTACCCGAAGGTGACGGCAGTGCTGTCGTACACGATCTCCGACAGCTTGGCGAGCTTGCCGTACTTGTAGAGGACGCGGCGGCCGGTGCCCAGGTAATGCGTGGCCTGAGGCCGGCCGTCCTCGCTGAAGTCGTGGATGATGGAGGCGTTGCTCTCCGGGGGGTTGTACGTGTTGCGGATGTAGCCGACGGACACGTGTGTGAACATGGTGTGGCGAGCCACGCTGGGCATGGTGACAGCCGTGACCCGACCTGAGGCGTCGAACTCAAAGACATACTGTCTCTGGCTCTGCAGGAGCAGCACCATGGACTGGAAGAAAGGAGAGGGTTGAAATACGGATTAATTTAATAGCATTATCAATGGATGACTTGCCTCCTGTGAAATAGAACCTGGGGTAATTTGCTCTCACTTGACAAATCTGCGGCTTCATAACCATAAAAATGATGTATTATGTCAGTCAATTTCACAGTCCAAATTATTATTGCTTATGCCTTCCTTGGTATGGTTCGACTTTTGGATGATGATGTTGAAGATATATGCACTTACTTTGTCAAGGTAGCTGTAACTCCACACCTTCCCGTCCACAAACGAACGAGATAAGATGCGTCCCTGGGAGTCAAATTCCGTCCTCTCGCTCATGCTGCCCCTCTGCAGCCCAACAAGTTGTCCCGTGGATGAGTAAGAGACATTGACAACGGCCAGGCTGCTGCTGGGCAGCCACATGGCCGGCCTGCCCTGAGCATCATACATAATGCGCAGAGTGAACTTGCGGTGATCATCGTAAATCTTCTCCGTGCGCGTGTTGCGATCAAAATCGATGGAAAGAAGATTGCGGCCATGGGCCTGAGGAAAGGAAAGAAAATCTTAAGAATTCTATTTTCTATGTACTTACTGAGTTGTATAGCATGTGAACTTTATATCTAAATCGGAACAAAACCATGTCCCTTCTATTTTTTTGTAGAAAAAAAAAAATTACCCTGAGCTTCCTTCCAAACACGGTGACCTTGCCCTTGGTCTGCTCCTTGCGCAGGCGCCACACAATAGAGTTGAGACCATTGTCTGTGGGCAGGGTGATGTTCCTTCGACCGATTGTGGGACTGACCGAGCCTGCCAGGATGTGGGGCTCTGTGTGGAAACTGATGCCCATTCCGTTGGCGTACATCACTCTCAGGGTGCCATTGTTGCATAACTGATAGCTGTTCCTCACCTGGTCTGTAAGAAGAAATAGACTTTAAGACATATCAAATACAAACTTACCGAAAACAAAAGAAAATAGTGCTTGACCGGTATAAGTGAGAAACGGTAATAGCTCGACCAGATTGGTGGTTTCATATGGATAAGGGTAAGATTTCAATAAGATATGTCAAATACAATAGATTTGAAAAAAAAAATGCTGCTTCATATTTTTATGATTTTTTTCACCCCAAAAATATTTAGGAATTTTCTATTAAGTAAAAGCTGATAGAATTGAAAATTGAACCGTCCCGAAAATTGAATTATTTGAATGAATCTGACATCACAAACTCAAAAAAAGGAAAATGTTGTTTGTTCCTGCTATTAGTCTACAAAAAACAATACTAAACCTACCAATAGTGATCAGTTAGAACAACCATTTCATTTCCAGTCAAATCTGATGTGAGTATAAGAGTCAAGCCATAAAGGTTAAGGTCAGTAAGAACCAGTTTACCTTCACAAAAGTGGTTCCTAATTTGTGTCTGCAAAAGGAAACTGAGTCAAAACTGATGTCTGTGCACAATCTCTCCATCTCCCCAGTGTAATGCCTCTCTCACAAGAATGGAGACAGATAAGGCCATGTGTAATACTGAGGCTAATTTTCGGTTCTGATGTCTGAAAACAGGCGTCTTGATCACAGAGGAGGAGATAAAATTGTTTTGAGCTTACAAATATCCGGAAAATGCAAAGTCGAGGGCTTTCCTTATTTCGATTACGAAAAGGTGAGGGGATCAGATGGTTTTTCCGTTTGAAGTGCTACCATAAATGACAGTAATCCATAAGGCCAATTTGTAATAAAGCTCCAGGCACATTTTAACAATACCTCAAACAGACAAGTGAAGCCTTTTCCATTGACTTGGCAGCAACAGCCTTTAGATAAATCTTCTCTGCTCACTCTGTCTGAACAACCTCATAATAAAACTGAAGCGAGGTTGAGGGAAAGACAGAGAGAGGGTGAAATGAGAGCCTGAGGGCCACGGAGAATTCACTGCACAGGAGTTAATGAAGAGAGCGAGGAAGAGCGAAAAGAGAGGGAGATGCTTAAGTGAGTATGTCAGCAGAGAGCAGAGCAGAAGCCCACACAGTGCAGAGGAAACACTAAATGACTTACAGCTCCGTGAACAACTCTTCTCTTACTGCATCACAGGTGGATCACTGAATATACCTACAGCCTATTCCTCGGCCTTTAGACTGTTATAGTTCTGTCTGCTCTCATACTGGGGCCGCGCAGCTTGAGTCTGGTCAAGGGAAATGAGACAATTCTTCTTCTTTTTCTTCCTCCTCTTTTCTAAACATACCAAATAAGATGAGGGATTATGGGAGCTGGTTGAGAGTTGTATTTGTATGTCGGTGCAAGCGTGCGTGTGCAAAGAGAAAGCTTAAGGGATGAGGATGATTCACTCGAAATGAGTTAATGAATTTTGCTGTGATGACATTCAGAAGCTGGATGATCCCAGTTGGGATTACCGACTATATATTGGGTTTATTTTTCCCATCAGAGGAGGGAGAGACATGGATGTGAATAAAGAAGGAAAACAGTTTTCTGGAAATGGCACATAACTGAGGTAAAAATACAGCTGGAGGCCTGCGGATAGTTACCATGACGGCAGGTGGCTCTGATTTTGAGAAACGAAGAATTTGTGACTCTTCACACAGCAGTAATATCTTGGAAGCAGACCCATTCTAATTAAATAGCGAGGCAAGTTTGATATCTGTTGCTCTCTGTTGATGATTTGAGCTTTCTGACACATACCCAGTCATTTTCTCTGCATTAAAAAGAATTCATGACCTAATCAGTTTTCCTCAGAATGTGTTCTCTGCATTCAGAGTGTGCCGGTACCTTGCACCACCGTGTACGAGGCTTCGACTGAGGACAGGTTGGTGATGACCGTGACATCGTCGTCTCGGCTAGAACTCTCAATGTCAATGTTGATGGAGCGCTCAATCTCACGGTGGAGGCTTGTCACCATTCCAGTTGGGTATGTCACATTGGTCAGGCGACCCTCGCTGTCGTACCTGGCAGATGGGAGATTGCATTGCGGTTAGCACAGAAGAAACCTGTTCATGCTTGTGCTTGTAGATGCTGAGCCAGAACGTCATTCACACAAAGACACTGGCAGAGAGGAACATAACGAATCATGTCGCTGGAACTGATTGTGGCTATAAAAGCCAACACTGGAGGGCAGCAGCACGTCATTGGAAATGTGAAAAATAAACAGGAATTGCAGAGCTAAATTGTCAGATTCATTTTATCCCTCAGATGGACAAAACAGACCTGGATATGAACAAGTATTCAGGCATGCTGATCTGCATTCCATACTTACTGGTAAAATGTGGTCCATCCAGTCTCATCAGCTTTGGTAGCCAAGAGGCCCGTGTTTCCGCTGTAGCCCATCAGGGCCACTTCCTGGCCCATGGCAGACACACTCCGCAGCCCCCCGGTGGGATCAAGTCCCAGAGTCACTACTTGGTTCTCCGGCAGCAGCACCAGCCGGAGAAGGCCCGCTCCTCCTCCCTGTCCGAGGCCGTCCCTCCTCACCTTGACGGTATTGTTGCAGTTGTCCACCAGCATGGCCAGCTCGCCATCGGAGCCGTAGGTGAAGTTATAAAGAGGCTCCCCGGTCACAAGGCTCACGGTCTGAATGTGAAGCCCCTTCCCGTTGAAGACGTACAGCTCCTGCTCCCTCGGTGAGGCCACCTCGTACTGGGCGGATCCCACGAACCCCACGCTGGAGAGGGCGGGGCCGGGCCGGTTGGCCCGCACCGCTCTGATGCGTATGTTGTTGAGGTCCGCGATGAAGAGCGTCCCGTCGGGGGAGACGGCCAGCGAGGTGGGCGAGTTCAAGCCGGCGTCGGGGGCGTAGCCCTCGTCGCCGTAAAAGCAGTTGCAGTTGACGTCGTTCTTGCAGTCGCAGTCGGAGGCAGCACCGGCCAGGAGAGAGATCTCTCCATTAGTGCTCACCTGGAAACAGGCAAAATGGAAGAGAACAGGCAAGTGTTGAGATTGGAAATGAAAAAAAAAAAAAAAATGATGTCATCACTTAATGAGGGGAAAGCGACGGTCATTTTAAGGTTAACCTAGGTAGGTGTTATCTGGAAGTTTCAATGATTACATCAGTAAGCACAGACAGCCTGACCAGATTCGCTGTCAGTTTTAATTTACCTCAAAAATCCTTTACGGAGAAACAAATTGATTTCAAAACAACCAGAACAAAAACAAAACAAAACAAACTACGTTCAATAATTCTCTGGCACACACCTGTCTAACACGGTTAATCTTCTTCTCGTCCGTCTCAGCGATGTAGAGGATGCCGTTGTGGGACAGAGCGATGGCCGTGGCGCTCTCCAGAGCTGCATGTATGGCCAGCTTACTGAGGCTGTAGTCTATTCCCGGCACTTGGCAGTGCATCGGTCGACCTGCTATGATGCTCACCTTAAACGGACAGAGAATAATAGCAACGCGTCAGTGATCAAGCCACGCAGATAATGCCACAGAAATATTAGCAGTCTTTGTTCTAATGTCGATTTAGCAGATAAAACTTTTCATGATGAAGTTAGATGAAAGAAAGCGAAATATTCGCACAGCTAATTAACCGGTTATCTTGCAACCACGGCAGGACTTAGAAAACTGGCAGAAATTGAAAAAGTTGCCTCTAAATTGCCTTGAGAGAAACTAATTGGGATGAAATCTTGTCAAAGCCCCCACAGCGAGCATCCGCCCTCGGGGGTTTGGTACAGACCTGGTGGTTCTCAGTGATTCGCAGGATGACATTGTTTTCCAAGACATAGAGAGAGTTGTCCATGGGGTTTACTGCCAAGTCTGTTGGCCACTCAAGACGCACCTGTTCAGCAGAAAGAAACATAGTAACTGTGAACGGGGGGGTAGACATTTTGAAATGATGCTCAGATACGTTTCATCATGTGCCTGCAGCATCATTCACTTTCGACTATTCATATGTCCACTAACTCTTTAAATAACTCCTCGTTATATACCTATTAACTATCTATGAACTGTCTTATAACTGTCTATTATCTATCAACTAACTATTGCGGATAAACTGCTGTTATTCACAACATTCCCCTTTTGCCTCTTGTCCACTCTCTCCTACCTGGCTCACGTCCATGCTGGTGTCACAGCTCAGTGGCCGAACCGCCGTCAGATCGTTGGCCCCCAGCAGAGTGGAGATGATGCCATTTTGGTCCACCTTGCGGATCATGGTCGCGTCCACGAAATACATCAGCCCGTTTTTATCCACCGCAATGCCTGTCAGGGCAGAGACGGGATGCTGTTAATGCCCATTTGTGACTCAGACATTGTCAGCCACCCATTGACATTGCAAGTCAATTAAACTTCACTCAAAAGGGGAAGCTGGCAGCTGGACTCCTCACCGCCTCATTGACTGAGGGGAAACTCTGTCATGCAACCGGAACTGAACTGCTGAGAAGTGTACGTTTCAGGATGCGTCATCCGGAGGCAGAGCTGCACTGTCAGAGGGCGAATGGCGACCTCAGCAAAATATTCCAGAATGGAAAGGAGTCTCTTTGAACTCTTCTTCCTGCCCTGGTTTTGCTCTCACTGCACTTTTTGCACCCCTGGCTTCCAACTTTTTTTTTTCTTCCGTGCTTTTTTCAGTCACTTTTCTTTCCTTTTTTTTTCTTTTGTTTACCAGTCGGTTGTTTTCTGGTCTTAAAGGCAACACTTCAGTGGAGCTGTTTATGGCAGACGTGCCCCCAAAATAACTTATAGGTGCATCGAGATGCAAAATAGCAGACTGAGGATTCAGCAAAGGGCACGGGGTAAACGAGAGACGGGTAAACAGAAAACACACGAAGAAAAGCAAAAGGTGAGAGAGGGCAGGTTGATGGTTGTTGGCTGACTCTTTTTGTGAGATGTGAAAGGAAAACCGTGACTCATTGTCATCTCCTCTTACACACAAACACACATTCACATTTGCATGCTGTTTAATAGTATCGTCTGCAGTTCTACACAGACACACATCCATGTCACTGACAAGAAATGTGACAGTGTGACATCCTTGACAGTTTGGTGTCACTGTGTTCTAAGATCCAGATCCACCAAAATAATTCTATTATAAGTTTAACATTAACCTGGTTTATAACCTCCTTCTGTCCCTGTCCTGCTTTAGTTCAGAACATTTCCTTCACTCGCAAAATGGATATATCATGCGGTAAAATGGCAACGTAAAGCAGTGAAACTGACTTGAGATTTCAGTTGAACCACTGGTCACAACCTTGGATCGCATTTGTTCCCGAGAGGCTCACCTTTGGGGCCCATCAGTGTAGCTTGCGTGGCCTTTCCACCGGCATCGCAGCGTTCATCGAAGGGCAGGCACTGCTCCCCCGTGCCGGCCACCACCTCAGCATTGTCCGACAGCAGCTGGCCACCGGTTAGCGAGCGGACGCGGTAAATTCTCCGGGAGTTGAAGTCTGAGATGAACAGTGCCCCGGAAACAGGATCCACAGCCAAGTAGTACTTATGGGATGGGTTATTACTAAAGTGACATGAGAAAAATAACAATTAGGATTTTTTAATTTGTGTTGATTTATGCTTTAGTTTGATATTTTTAAAAGAGGGTGTTGCGCAGACGTTTGGCGTTGTTGATAAAGACGTTAGCAGCTACTTATTTATAGTGACAAAGATCTCACCTGTGCCTGAAATCTTTGTTCCTTTTAAGGGCAAAAGGGAGATAAAAAGCACAACAAAACAAATGTTAATTTACACAGTCTGTAGAGAACAACAGAAAGCTAGTTGAGGTGTGAAATGCAAAATGTAAACATGTGTAAAAACACTCTGGAGAAATGATATCTAGTTCAGTTTATAATGCTGCCTAAGTCCTTCCATCCCCGGTGTCTCGCCTAACGTCTTTTATCCAGCATGCCACACTAAATATACAAAATCTTGTTTTTCTTCTGCTCTCTTCCTTCTCTCTACCTAAACTTCATTCTTTCATTCTCCGCAGCATCTATAAAACCTTACAACCCAAACTCATTTCCAGACCATTGTGTCTTATTTTTCCCACTTTCCAGCTCAAAATGGATGATTGGGCTCTACCTTAATTCAAGGATGCCAGTTGTGTTCATCGATGGGTAGACCCGGCGTACAAAGTTGAGGTCTCCGACATACAGGCTGCCGTCGATGCCCATCGCCAGGGCGACCGGCGCCAACAGCTTGTTACCGTCCGCCAGGCCATTGCAGCTGGGGCAGGAGATGCTGCGCCTGCGGCCGTTTCCCATGATGCTGGTGATCACTGGCGGCTGCTCTGTCACAAAGATGTTCTCCCCGCTGCCTTTGTGAAGAATGCCTGGACATGAGCAAAATCGTCGACATCATCACGTTAGAATATCTTTCTTTATTCTTTGTTGATGTGTAAAAAAAGCTGACCTAATATGCTAGCATATTTTGGCCCCTTGGACAATGGAAAAAAGGAAGAACTGCTACCAAGAGTTTGGTAACACCAGAATGAAGTTACACTATTCAATTTGATGTTAATTGTTAGTCTCATCTGAGGCTGAGCTCGTGCATTTGGTATGTAAGCATGCCAAACATCAGAAAAGTTCCCGGTCATTCTGAGGTTCTTTGCATACAGATGACAGTATTTAACAGGTTAAAGTCTCGTCATTGCTCAAACACAATGGCAGTGGAATGTTTTCTAAAGACACAAATAATGACTTCCACCTGCCAACCACCACACATTTGGTGGAAAAGGAACCTTTCCCCCCTCGTATGCACACTCAACCCCCTGCCTCAGCTCTCGTAGCTGCTGATTGGTTCCTGCACAGTTTTCATAGAGTCAAACTAGGTGAGACAACGCAAGCTCTTCCTGTGAAAATCCTCACTGTCAGGTAAAAACTGGCACCTTGCAACCGCACGTGAGCCTCAGGAAGCGCAATGTGGTCGGAAACCATTCCCCTCCACCTCAAGACAGTCGTACATTCAGTGAGACACGCATTACTGCAGAACTGCAACCTTTGGGGAACCGGCTAAATATAAGCAAGAGGGGAAAACTACAGAAAAAAAAACTTCTAAAGTCTGTGCTCATTTGTGGGCAAATATCAAGGCGTGTAGCTACAGCGTACATACCACTACGCGTGTTGAGAATGTGGTGCTTGTCCAGTGACCAGCCACCCAAATTGGTGGGATCCAGTTCGTAGCCCTGCAGGATGGCCGTCCTCTTCTCCCAGAGGATCAGACTTGCGCACGACTCATATTCATAGCCCACTGATACTACATATGGGAAAGTGTAGAGGCAAGAAAAAGAGACAGCAATTAGTAATGCTCAGTGTAAAATGATACAAAAAGACCCCCCACATACACACACACATAAAAAATAGGGAAGAAAGCAGAGAGGCTGTGCAACTTTGTTAGAGCATAATCTTCCAAGTTCATTTAAAGGGAGGAAAGGTGTGATCCACAGAAAAGCTAGTTAGCACCTGTACCCAAACCTGCACTCACACCTAACTAACACTCTCTCATGGTGCTAAATAGATTAGAAACCTTGTTAATTGGAAAGATTGCCCTACAGGCTTTTAAAACCTAGAGGACAGTTTGGTTGCCGTAGTGAAAACTCGGATGATGGAAACATTACTACGACCCAAGCATCCACATGTCCTGACAGAGTGCTGATTTAGATTTTTTTTTTTAAACAACCCATAAAGCTAAATAAGGAAAATTACATAGACGTGTAAATATACATATATAGGGAATCTGTATATTCAGATTATTCACAGATGCTGTGCATGTTGTACATTTTGCACATTTATGTGTGTACGCTGTTGCAATCTGGCTTGTTTAATGGAAATGTGTGCTAACACATCAACTCCCACCTGAGTCCCAGCAAGAGTGCTATTGCCAGCACATTTTCAGGCTCTCGCCAAACAAGTATAAAAATGTGTCTTGACTCTGTACAGTGAGCAAAACAAGCCTAGCCTATATTTTTTTTTGAGAAATGTAAAATAGCAGTTACCCCCAGGGAACTCTTGGGATCTTTGAGTGTATGCAATTTCACAAACTCTATGCCCCCTCATGATTTTAGTCCACACTGAGGCCCCAGATGTCCACTGCATCTGTGGCTTGACAGCAGTGTTTGGCTGACAGCATCTGTGAGCGACTGTGACAGCAGAATGTAATAGCACTGAGGCTCCCCTGGACTCCTGCTTGCTGCTCCAGTAGTTAACTGCTAACTCACCCTGATGGCTAATAACCCTTCACCACGGTTACGGCTGGCTGACTGAACTAAACGCAGCTTCAATAAAAAAATAGACGTAAGAAAGAAAAAAAAAAAGAAGCTCTCTGCTGTGGCCGTACTGCAAAGTGGATCCAAGCTGGGTCTGTAGTGTATTATCTCTCCTTCGAACTTCCTAATTAGCCTCTCTCCCTCTGTCATAGCGAGTGGCCCCTTAGCGGTAAATTGCTTAATATATTCCATGAATGCTGTGCCTCCCCCCAACGCTGCTTCTTCCATCTCCATCTCCACCACTCACCAACGGCTTCGGAGAGACCGTAGACCCTTTGCCCATATGCGTCTGTCTTATCCCAGATGTAGGTGTAGGCCAGGTTGGGTGAGGCATGGAACCACTTTTGGAAGAGGTGACCCTCAACTGCCACCATCAAGTGAACCTTCAGCAGGCCCATGGACACCACAGCTGGAGTCATGGTAACCTTGAGAAGGGAGCGGTAACCCTGGGTCCTAGAGCTTAGGTAGCTCAGCTTTAAACTTGTGCCAGGCACCTCAATCTGCTCATGCAGCACCTGGAAGACAAAGGGACAGGAGAGAGGGATTAGGGGGATTAGAGAGAGAGAAAGTAATGGGGGTCACGCTTCCAGTGATGGCTAAAGGACAAGAAATAGGGAAAAACAATGGAGCATATACAGAAATAGCGAAAGGGGGAAGGGGATGGTGAGGGGGAACTATAGAAGCAAGGGGTGGGAGCGGAGCTACAAAAGACAGGCACATAGGAGAGTGGGAAGAGAGCGAGGAAACCAGAGGGAAGATTAGCCGGCTTCCAGAGGTCAGTGGTACTGCACCTGTGTCTCCGGTATGATGGGTTTCTCCCCTGGCTTGGAGCTGAAGAAGGAGGAGAGAGGGGATGCAATCACAAGAGGGTCAGGCCTGGCGAAGCCGCTCAGGTCACAGCCTGGGATCGTGTTCTCTTCTGTCTTAAGCACCAGAGTGTCCATAGCATAAAACTGGCTCCAGGGTAGCCACACGGTGCGCTCCTGGCTCAGGAAGGGGGCACGCTCGAACCGCAGAGTCAGTGACGCACCACCGTTAGCTATCAGGTCAAACCTGGAGAGTTTTTTGACAAGAGGATGGGAATGAGGTACACATGGCGAGTGCTGTTCTGGATGCACGGTTATCTGGAATTAAACAGTGGCAGTGTTTCGTCTTCCTCTGTTACTATTCACGTCTTTAGGTATAATGCAATACAACAAATCACCTGCAACAAATGATTTGATGTTATACAACAAACAAATGCCAGCAGCAGGTAGGTCAGAGCTCAGTTTTGTCTGAAATATAGATGATTCAATGTTAGCGCACTGGTCCCAGAATAGAAATGACTTTATTAGATGCTATCTCTTAGCCTTTAGTCACCATATAGTGGTTAACAACTGTGGGTTAATGATTAGCAGAGAGAAAAAGGTCACACACAAAATTGTGATGGCTTACAGGAAATGGCAAGAGCTTTGTAAGTGTCTGGAACTGCTGAGGCTAATAGCATCTAACAGCTGGAAGAAAATAGTGCCCAGCAAGACAAAACAAGGCAAGACAGAGGCATCAGAGCATAGTCATTCAAGTCACAAGTCCATGAAACTTTTAACCGCCCCTGAAACGCAAAGGCTGTTAAATGTTACCAGACGTTCAAATATTTCTGGAGGAAAGTGCTGCAAAGAAAAGAAGACAGGGGACACACACACACACACGAGGGGGGACAACAGGACCGAAACATTCAAGTCAAAGCTCAACTGCCCAAAACTGTAAAGGAAAGGTGAGTATTGCAAGATTACTCAACCATACGCATTTGGAAAATGGCTTTTATTCTTTAAAAGAAGAAGAAGAAGAAAAAACAGATTAAAATTAGTGGCTGTAAAAATATTTAGCCATTGACACTGCTTTGGTTGCGCTCATTTTTGGTTTCACAACATATAGGATGTACAAATTCAAGAGACGATCGCGTGAAAAATGATCTCATGTGAGTGAAAATGTTGTCGTTAACAATTCCATGCATAACTGAGTGGATGCAATAGACTTTCCTTCAGAGACTGCAGTGCTACAGCCAAATGCATTTACTTTGCCTTTATTTGAAATCTCTTTTGTTTTCTATATCCTGTTATTTGTGTCTCCAACAGACGAGTCTTCTCAGGAGATATCATATCTAATCTAATCTGATCTAATCTAATGGCACAGCCTTTGCAGTGAGGTAGTTTCCAAATTTCAGCTAGCAGAACTGGATAGCTGCTGTACGTACATGCCATCCTGTCTCGTCAGCGTGTATCCGTAGTGCGGATAGTTGACAAAAGACACGTTCACCCCCACCAAAGGGGTTCCATCTGTCGTCAACACCTGACCCCGGATAAGTGATGCCAAGCTGGAAGAGGACAGAAGAGATGGAATAAGTTAGAGAAAGTTCATCCATCAACGTGTTCCCCCCAGCAATCCATCATGTGATTTGATTAATCTCCCATCTTTCAATCATCCAATTTGCCAATTTATTCATTGCCCTGGTCTTCGACTACTCATTAATTAGAACCAATCAGCAGCCCCTACCATCAGGATAAGTGCATGTCAATCACATAAACATGCCGCGACAACATTGATGAATATGTGTGTAAGTTTGTGCACCATTTAGTGTCTGCGGCTGCATCCTGGAGAATTCGCACGCAGACCAACGTTTAAATTTGTCACTTTAATGAGTTATTTCCTTTGCAGCACCTTCTGCTGCTGTTAATGGCTGCAGAGGAAAATCAGCACCATGGACAGTGCTCATCAGCTCCACCGAATCTATGCGGAGTCCCTGCCTTCCTGCCTTCGGTGCTGGGGTTGTTATTTTCTTAGCAATCTCTGCAACGCAGAGCTTTTAACAAATCAAAAAAACCTAGTGAACTTATATTACATTGTTTATTTTTTATCCGTTGAATACGTGATAGGCTCTCCGAAGGCTTAGGTTGGCTGTTCGGTTTGCTTCCGACCCGGTCAACATGCTTGTGTGCGCTTTCGGCCATACCTCGAGTTGAATGGGTTTTCCCCAGGGATGATGTGGGTGCTGTCCCATCCCACGAGCATCTTGACGCGGTCATAGAAAGATCGAACCCAAGCCTGGGAGATTGGGTTCTGCTGGATGACTTGCAGAGGGTCCCGCGAGCCACGGCACAGGGGACTGTTCTGACACGGACTCTGAATGCAGCAGTCTGGGTCCATGCAGTCTGTCAGTCCATCTGATAGGAGGTAGATAGAGCAGGGAGTAATTCAAGAAGTCCCTCCAGCTTATTCCATTCTTGATCTGAGATCTGTTTTACTCTCACTGGAGAAAGTTTCATTTTGGCCTCCACCGTGAGTTCCACCCTCTCAGGAGACCTCTATCTTAATTCTATCTCTTTAATTTAATTCATTATTTTCCCTCTATTCTCCTACATTATTTTCAAAGAGCAAGAGGTACTCTTAAGTGAAGGTTGCTCTTATCACAGCTCTACCCTTAATTTTCCCCTGCTCCCCCTCTATTCACCTCCTTCGTTGTCCTTGTTGTCGGCACAGGAGGTCTCCATGGCAACACTGCATCCTGGGCCTCTCCAGCCCGTCTGACATTCACAGTGCCAGCTCTGCTGACCCATGGTGCACTGGCCATTCCCATTACACAAGTTAGGACAGCCGTCTGGGTGAAGACGACAGGAGGGGAGAGAAACAGGGTGACGCTTGTTTTGTTTAATCGCTAATGATACACAGATGAACACACATTTGATCAAGCTACATCGTCCGGTCGCACTCATTTGAATAAACCTGTGCTGATCACAGTGTAGGCACAGTGTCGGCATTGATCTTTCCAGAAAAATCCCTTCAAATCAGAAGCTCAGTTTTCAAGTTTTAATGCACACCTTTCCATCTTTATGACTCTACACCTGAGGGAAGGGTGCTAATGCCGGTGTGTGTACATGTGTGTGCACGTGGGTGTGTGTGGACCGAGGTGGATAGATTACTTTATTCACTTACTGGATAGAGCACCACCCGATCATCACTCTCTTCCTCTCTCTACTTATGATTCAGTGAAGGTAATGGGATTCTGATGGCCTGAGAGTAATGCTTTCTCGTGAGAAAATGAGATTATGTTTGACAGTGTGTGTGCATGTGTGTAAGTGTTGGGGTGTGTGCATTCATACTTCTCTGTGGTGGCTGTCTACGAACTAATAAACCCTCTCTTAAGCTTAAGCAGATACTCTTTCTACAGTTTCAGGCCCTAAAGCCAAGCGCTGTAAGTCCGTAACCAGCATAAAGGGCACCCTGAACTTAACAGCGACTTTAAGGAAAGAAAAGGTTGACAATTACAGAAGGCATTGTTATTTTTTGCAGTGTCGTGAATGCTTTTATAAGAGTGCAAAGAGTGTACAGAGAGTTCAAGAGACTCTCAAACACGATCCATATTCATCTGCTGTGGAAAGGTCCGACAAAGCAAATAGAATTTGGTAAAACAGCTGCTCTGATTTATTTTACCTCTATAGCATGCACACGTTTATATGTTTAATTTTGTAGTTTCATTAGAATGTGTATATGAGACCCCCAGCAGTGTAATTAACTGCAAATTTACTGAGAGCCAACGAAAAGCAAAAAAAGTTCTCTGTCAGGAGTGAATTCTAGCTTGAACCCCTTTGTAAGACAAAAAAGTTATTTTTTCCTTTGAACAAGGCAAGCCGTGCTCTTTCCCCCTGTTTTTAGTCTATATGCAAATCGAATCCACTTGGCTGCTGGCTCCAGGTTTATACTGAAAATGAAAACATGAAGGTGCATCACAGCAACATACAGGGATGGCACTCCTGTCCCAGCAGAGCTATTTTGTACCAGAATGCTCTTAAGCTAGATGTCACTATTTTCATTTTTTTTTTCTTGGGTCTGACAGTCAAATTGGGTGAAAAAGAAAAGGAGAAAGGATGGGCAGAAAGAAACATGACCTTAAGAAACAGAGAATCCCATTACTCAGTGCAACTTCTGTTAATTAAAAAGCTGGTGTTCTGCAAAGATTTGGTTTTAGATATCTGGTCTCAGGGATATGGTCCGATCGCACTTCAAATCCAAATGTTTTTAGCACATTCAGTATTGGAACTGATGTATTCAGTAGTGTTTTCTTTGAATGGAGTCATATACTATAGATTTTATGAGTTGCTATACTGATTGTGCAGATTTGGTATCATTTCGAAACTCAGGCTGGTTACAAGGAGTAGAAATAGAATGACATACGCTTTTAGATGGTAATTCTATTGCGTTAGCATAAAAAAACGATCCTGAAGTCAAGATACAGGGTCTGTGCATATGAAAGACGGAGGAAAAATGACATTTGCATTCTCTATGGACAGAGATGAGATAATATCCACCTTCTCATCTAATGCTAGTTTAGGTGTCAGTTCCAGCATTTCCTATAATTCTTATTTTGTCCATTAAGATTTCATTTAGCAAAATAATTTAACCTGATTCTGTCAGTGGAACAAAAATGACAAAAACAAAACTGAGCTCATAAAAAACTCACTGAAACACAGTTACACTAAAAATCAAATAACCCAAGCTTAGACTTTTTCCTCTTCTTTACAAGGTAGCTTTCAACTTCCGGCCCATCTTAGCATTTTCTGTATTCTGAATGATATATTTTTAACATTACATTTTCAACATTATAATCCATCAAGCAGAGAAGAAAAGAGAGGGGATGATGACACGCGACGACAGTGTTTTCTCTAGCGTCACAAAGAGCCTCAAACAAAGTTGTCACAGAGATTTTCCTCCACATTAAATGAGGGTGCGAGATGCAACACTCTTAAGTGTACCCACGGGAGATGAAGCCTTAGACGGGGCTGACATAAAACAATATGTGCATGCACGAAAGATTCTTATTCTCGCACACACACCCACCCACACACACACACACACACGCCCACACAAGCCCAGCGTGATGTACCCTGGAGATACGACCTGACATTTCTCACTCAGTGGTAGTGGGCTGACACGGATCGAGGAAGGACAAAAAAAAAACCCAGTAAGAGATTATGAATACGAAATGCTTTTTACTGAGTCCGGCTCGGTAGATTAATGAACATATTTTCACTCAAGTTGCGCTGTAGGATTTTGCCCTCCAACAAATCGCTGCATCAATAAAGCCATGCATTATGAATACAAATAGTGCAATCTAAACAGTGGCAGCGGCTAAATTAACAGGCATTTCACCCCGATTGGCATTTTATCATAAGTCTCAACCAGCGGGTGATGAGCGAAAGTCAAGAAAGGACTTCGAGGAAAACAGCGCCGCGTCTTGTTTCGAGGGCTTTTGCAGGCAAGGTAGCTTAGGAATGTTTTTCAGCTCAACAAGAGGAATCAAATAAAAGGTTTTATCTTTAATTATTACCATTGTCTGCATCAGGGGACCGCTCATGATGCTGCATTAACGGTTGGGCTGGAATAGATTGTCCCCAAGTATTGAGCTCAGGGAACAAAGGCAGTTAGCAGTGATTGCCTGTTAAATGGAGTTGCCATTTAAAGCAGCCAAATACTTATGAAGCACCCGGACAGGACAATCCATAGCGGGCATTGATTGGCTTGCCTGGGAAGGCCAGCGTAAGGCTCTTCTCTCTTTAATGCCAAGACCCAGTCGATATCCCCCCCATACTAAGTAGAATAAAGTGGGATTTCAGAAACTATTAAGTCCACCCTCCTCAGTAATGTAGTTGGACTCTGATGAAATCCCCTTAAAAAGGAGAAGAAATTGCCTTGGGTTATGGGTCAGCACACACACTCTGGTGTGGTATGCAGTGTCAGTGGTTGTGGATGTTGGGCTATATGACTGGACTGTTATTGTGCGAAACCGAAAGGCTCCAAAGAGATTGTTAGAAAGAGACGCCCAGATCGAGAATGAGACAGACACAAAAATGAGAACAAAGTGCAGAAAGGAAACTCAGTGAAGACATTCTAGGAAAAAGTCCCCCCCCCCCCCCCCCCCCCCCCCTCCCCAAGCCCAGCCCTGTCTGCTTTAAAGGTCACGAGGAAAGGTTACTGCCAAAGGTCTGCAATCGCAGTTTAAAGATGGACCAAATAACCTCTACAACAAATCTCCACTCATCTACTCTTACTATTCTTAACAGTCTACCTACGAAATGAATGATTGCTTCATGCCTTTATTCTTTGACCTGTCACTCTGCTTCCCTTTGACTCCCCCTCTATTCTCACTCGCTCAACCTCTCTGTCTCTTGCTCCCTCCTTAACCTGGCAATTTACCTTTTCTCTGGGCTAGCTCTTCATAAAACAATGAGAGCTATTCCATTAAGCGTGGAGGGTGAGAGGACACTCTCAACTGTGCTCCGGGGACCTGTACAGCCAGGCAATCTGTGCCGCTCTTTGCAACCCGTCTGAGGTTCAGATCTGGGGCTATCTAATAAGCATTCCTGCTTAGCCTGTGGGACGGCTGACTCTTGACGTGCAGTCTTCTCCGTTTGCCTCGATTCCTTAACCTTGACCATCAATCTGTTTACCTTAGTTTGATCCTACCTAACGTGTTTTTTCTTTGTTTTCTTTTTTTCGGCAGGGATCGAGCCTCTGGAATTAATGCAGTATGAGTTCCATTCGCACCATCAAACCCACACACGTGCAGAAAAGACACATTTATTAGCCATTCTGCCATGGCCGTGACTGTTGCCACAAATACCCAAATAAAAACGCTCCCACATACTTAGCAGCTCTGCATTTTTTGACACCACATTAAGGCCGTGCACCAGTGGCCTATGAAATTTACCAATTACCTTGAAAGCGCTTCAAACTTTCATCATTTTCTCCTTGTGTGAAGCAACTGTGTTTATGCAGGGCATAACCGGAATACCTGAGTGCTTTCCGTTTTGTGTTTTCAGGCCCCGCACTGGAAGTTAAAAATGCTCACACACATGCACGGCCACACATCCACAGCACAGCCCCTCACCACTGCTGATGCCACACTAGGCTCTACAGGGCCCCACCACACATCAAGGCTCAATGACAGCTGGGCCCTGCTGCAGTGCACTGCGAGAGTGGGAGCGCACCACATGTAGGTAGTCGTCATTGAGGCGGGCAACCTGGTCTACTACAGACAGATAGCACCACAGAGTCTACAGAGCCAAGCCAGGCCAAAACCCACAAATGCAGCAGCTAGCTTCTACCACCACAGGCTAAGAAACAAAACACCAGAGTCAGATACGGTACCTGCTTTGTCAACCATGCTCCCATGGTCTGCAGTGGGAGAAAATGTGCAAAAGGTAAGAGATGGGGAGAGTATTTTTTTAAATATATATATATATAAATGCAAACAAATCATGCAGAGCTGAAATGAATAACAGACAAGCTGCGATAAGCTAAAACTGAGAGTGTCTGGTGCTTGTGAAGTGTGCTTTGTGCCAAGCTGAGGCCTGACAACTCTTTCATCTTGGGCTGATGCTGCAGTCAAAGCTGCCCTACTTTCTGATGGGGGAAATGGGGAGATCAGAAACTGTTACTCCCCAGTGCATATGTATGTGTTGGCGTGCATGCATGTGGGTGTGGATCCTGGTGTTTGTTTGGGCCGTGTATCACACCGCAATCACAGTGCCTCTGGTGACAAGAAAAGGAGACTTTGTGTCTCACGGCACTGCGAGTGAAGCAAAGGGATCTGGCACTCATCCATCCAAAGTGACGGTGATGTCAATGTGACACAGTGATTGACTGACGAAAAAAAAAAAAACACTCATTCACGCAAACTAGAACAACTGTGTGCATGCACACGCGCACAAACAATGTGAGAGAATTTTTTTCCCTTTTTTTTTGATCACAGTGAGTTTTTCCTTTCATCACATAACTTTGGTGTTTCAAAGGCCATTAAAAAAAACTAAAACTCCTGGGGGGTCTAGTTGAGAGGCAGCCTATAAACAGATAAATCCTGCTCTTTTGTAATGCTCCCACCCCTAAGTTCTTAGAAGTCCCCCCCCCACCCCACCCCTTTTTCTTAACCCACCTTCTACGTCAGTCTCCTTCCTCAGTTCCCTGGGGCCTTCCTTTTTTGCCTCTACCTCTCATTTCCAAATTCCATTAGCAAAGAAAAAAGGAGCTACCGCTTCAGTTGGACTGGGTTCTGGTGTTTCTGTGCACGCCTACAAGTTGACCCACGGCAAACGCACGCCTCCAGCCACGCGAGCTGACGCTCACCAATGGTGCAGTGCTCTCCGTTCCAGCCCTGGTGGCACTGGCACTTCCCGTCCTTGCAGGTCCCGTGTTTGATGCAGAGCGGGTTGCACACCCGCTGGTCGCAGCCCGCCCCGGTCCAGCCCTCCTCGCAGCGGCAGGCTCCGCCCATGCACGCTCCGTGCGTTCCGCAGTCGACCGAGCAGACCTCTGAAAGCAGGGAGACGAATTTGGGTCACGAATCAGGACTGAGAAAATGGATGCTTTTGCAGCTGTGATGAATTTGTGATTATCTACCACATACATACTCATAATGGATGCTATCATTCTATAAAGACACTTTATGAGTCTTAGAGGCCTGGGGGGCATAAATATGTTATTTCAACAACACAAACAGGGCTATTTTTCAGTCGCTAGCAGGTTGTAATGAAATCCTGAAATATGCCATCAATTATAGTATGCACATCTTGGAAAAAAGTAAACTTTCAAACCTGCTTTCACTTTAAAATCACAAGGTAGGCTCTGTCTTTGACTAAATTCACATGTAACATGCGAGAGGGTTCAAGTCAACTTAGTAAGTGTTCAAATAAAGGAAAAACAATCAGATCTGCAATAAATAAAGCACAATTCTCCATCCTGAACCTTTAATTAAAATTCCTGATTACGGTTCTGTGATGATAGGGTTTATATCCTAAAACCCCATTAGAGTCACTGTATGGGAGGCTCAGACGTTGCAGGTAGCGCAAGTGCATGTGGTGATATGTGACAATCCCGTTCATGTGTTCTGGACCCCCAGTGTGCGGGAAACGTGGTATGTACCGACGTTTTGATCCGCACTTGCTGAGGAATCCTGCAGCGTGAGACAATGCCGCCTTTACCAAAGCTAAGCGCTGCTTCTCTCGTGACAAATGTTGGATCTCTGTTCGTGAGTTCGTGAAACCTGATGCCTCTGCAGTGGTGCAAGTTTGAAGGCTTTATTTTCTTTCCGTAAAAGTGCAGCATTTCATTTAAGTAGAAATATCTGTATTCCTTTTTATGATTACCCCCCCCTCTGTTGCTCCCAAAGCACCCAGAAATTAAAGGCAGCTGCTCTCTGCTCCCTCATATCCTTCTCTCTCATCCTTGGCATCTCTACCCACAAAGCAAACCCACGTCCAATATCTATAATCCTCATACTCATTCAGTTTAAGAAAAAGATCACTCATTTGGCTCCAAGAACTATAACTAATCCTCTAAATAATTCAGATGATCAACAATTTTAGCTCATTAAACTTGACTTTAGTTCCTTTTGTAAATGCTAAGCAGCACACCGACTGCAGTCCTGTAACAAATCGCAGGTCATGTCTCAATGGTCCTTCAGATGTACCCCAAGATAAGTGAGATAAGGCAGGCCTTATCTCACTTTTACTCCTGGCAGCAAACAACCACATGCTACCTCAAAGATGTCACACCTGCAGCTTTCAAACAGCTCCACAAATTGAGCTGCGAGTTTGTTCTTCTGGATTTTAAGTGTTCTTTTTGTTTTGTTTCTTTGGTGTTTTCTTTTCTTAAATGCTGCCATTTATTTTCCACATTTTGCTTTCTTTTACTGCATTTTCTTAGATTTGATATATTACATGTTGTTCCTGTAATGAAGTGAAATTTAAAAAGCAAACGCCTCGCCTCTCCCATTTTAGAAGTGGAGCAGCACCCCGATAATCATAAAAAGCTGTCACAACCATACTGTTACTGACAGCAAAAAACTTCCCACATTTTATTCCTGAGTGTTCCAATTTGGCTTAAATAATGTAACAGTTGCTGTATCCTATTTCTGAGCATCTTGTAGTTTTGGTGGTTTTGTGGCTTTCATCCAAGCTCAGTTTGAAAACCAGCACAGCCTGAAATGAAATGACTAACTAATTAGTTATGTACCCTGGGACCACAAAATAAGTTGGGACAAATATTACTGAGTAGGTGTTTTCCTCCAACTTTGACACCAAAACCCTCTTAGCTCTGTGCATTTGACTGCTTTATGGTGGCGCGGCTCTGAAGGGTCCTACTTACCCAGAGAGCAGTCGGGTCCCATCCACTTGGGGTCACAGCTGCACAAGCCAGTGTCTGGTATGAAGGCGCCGTGGCCGTGGCACTGGTCTGGGCACTGGGCCCGCGGCAGTTCGCAGTGGAGCCCTCCCCATCCGGGCTTACAGTGGCACTCCCCGTTCACACAGATCCCGTTGTTGGAGCACGTCGGATCCAAGCAGTCGACTGCATCAAGCGAGAGACACGCAGCCGTTGAACAAATGGGCAAAAAAAAACGAACACAAAAGCTGGAAATAGTTAATAAGAAAAAAGACAAAAAAAAACATATATGTGTTTTTTGTTCAAGCAAGAAATGAAAGAGGACCTAATTTCTTCGGGTATTGAAAAAGATAATGAAATAAGAAGAAAATGTTAATGGACATAAGGCACATAATGAAGGAGAGTTAAGTGTGTAATTGGAGCACGCTCGGAGCAAAAGTGTTTTTTCTCCCTGAAAGAGCGGACAGCGCCGTGGACTCATCATCATCGGGCGTCCGCTGTTGCCAGCGTTCATGAGCGAGTGGACGCGCTTCCGTGTGCGCGGCTGTGTGCCAATACATGGGGGAGAATCTGACACTGTCAGTCTGCCAGCTTGACAGGCAGCTCTGAGTCCGAGCAGTGAGTGAAAACCAATTTGACAAATTACCTCCTCCCGGCAGAGCGCCCACCCAGCCGCCCCCTCCTCCGCCCTGCTCTCGCTTCCATGTCCCGGTCACACTAACTTTCTCCTTCCTCGTCCTGCTGTGTGGGCGTGCGTGTGTGTGTGTTTGTGCGTGTGACACCACTCTCTCCCCCTCCTCGGGCGTGGTTGACCCCTGCTGCTCCCCTCCGCGCACACATATTAATAAAAGCATGCGCTCCCACGTATCCCCGGCCCCTCCATTTCTGTTTGCCCCGCAGAAATGGCGGATCACGCTTATCGATTTTCATGTCGCCGGCACTTCAGGTAAATTGTTCGAGGGACTCTGGCTGTGATGAATATCAGATTTGAGATCAGAGGACGAGGAGGGGGATTGGAAGGGTTGGGGGGAAAAAATGGGGGGGAGAGGAGAAAATGCTGACCTTGTTCTCAGGCCCTGTATCTGAACTTCTGTCATTCTACTCCTCTTCTTCCATCGTCTTTTGCTTTTTTCACCTTGGCATGCAACTTTCTACTTTCTCCTGGCTTTTGTAATTCCTGTTTTCCTCATATATATTCACATCTCACCATCCCGACTCCCCCTCCCCATCCCTTCCTTTATCTCTCCTGCTTTCTGATGACTGAGAATGTCCCATGCTGATCCTTCTTAACAGGGATCAATACAAGCGATTTCAGCCCTTAATAAAATCTCTGATGTGTTCGGCTGCAGCATTATACTTCATCCAGCATATATGCAGGGAACGGGCCCTCACTCTGCGCGCTGATGGCACGAAGAGCTGACTAACTTGAGCTGGAAGGGTGTTTGTGGGAATGTGTGAGACGTTGAGCTTAAAGAATCATCCCGCAGCTGACGCGCGTTTCGTGCCATCGAACACCCCTGAAGATCATCGCACCGTCCCGGTGCCAGCTCTCACCTTCTGCGCAGCTCGGCCCCTTGTAGCCGATGGAGCACACGCAGTTTCCATCGGTGCAGGTGCCGTGGCCGCTGCACAGCGGGTCTATGCACTGCGTCACGGGGACGTCGCACTCGGGCCCCTTCCAGCCGCTGTAGCACACGCAGGAGCCTTTGTCGTACTGGCCGTTGCCGCTGCACAGCACCGGGCATGCCGCTGGAGGAGACAAAATTAGGAGGGATTGAAGCGTGTGTGTGAGAAAAAATAAACAACAAAACAATTAGCAGGCTTTTCAGACATTCGCAGCACCGTTTAAAGCCACGCTGTCCACCCACATGCATCTCCGCACCACCATGCAGGAGAGTGGATAGAGTGGTTAAGGGGCTAGACATGAAGAGTAATTACAGGCAGGGGTAACTAAACTATTCATCAAAGCTGTCTATCCCAGGTGAGCAAGGAGCCAGGGGGTCGCTTGCTTGGGGAGCTGCCATTCATCATCAGTCATCTTGTCTCAGCCCCACCTCAGGCCATGCGCCACGTCGCTGCTTTTAATCCTCCCATGCTTTCTGCACGGAGTCGAATTGTGTCCTCTCAACTAATTAGACGGAGCAGGCGACAGAATCTCTTCCTGACGGATTCGGTAAACAGCTAATACCTTTAGAGCAGTCCATGCCGTGGAATCCTGGGAAGCAGTGGCACACTCCAGAATTACACTCTCCGTTTCCATGGCAATTGCGCGGGCACTCTTGCACTGAATCTGTGAAGAAGATGAAGTGAGACAGAAGAGGAAGAGGGAGGGGTGAGAGAGTTTGATGGCAAGCATCAAAGCATTCCATTTAATCATTGGCACCATTCATTCTTTAAGATATGACAAATTGAAGGCGCTCTGAGTCTCTCAGTTGCACAGACATCAAAAGAAAACACCCTCTTCTGAGATTCCACGCATTCCTTTTCTGTGTATTTTCCATTGTACTGTGTGCGGACGGCGCACTTTGAATAATTTTTTAAGAAAGTATCCATTACCCCTCCACCAGTGCTTTGCAGCCCATATCAGAAAATACAGCCACTTTTCCACCCAAAGCACAGGCAGCGTCTTAGCAGCACCGACGCTTTTAAGGCGTTAAAGAGATCCTCTGGTCTGTCTGTTGTCTGGTTGAGGCTTCAATCCAATGAGCTATTGAGGAGATTGATTGCGACATGACAGGCGTGGACGGGCTAAAATGAAAGGACGTCATTTTATGTCCAGTCAAAAATGTGTAGAGTTGAACGTCCCCGCGGATTTGCAGCAATTATACTGCCCCCTCATATTTTGGGGATTATGTGACCAAGAGAAAAACATGTTTTGTTCTTCATTTGGAGAGAAAACTGCCAAAGAATCAGTCCTGTGTATTTGAGCAGTAATTATAATATAGGCCCTCCAGTAAGAAAAAAAAAAACTAACTGTACCTCTAAAGGTTTCCAGTGCCTAGGGAAAGTTCTTGTGGTGGAAAGTCAACTTAAGGGAATTGTTGTAATTTACACAAGCATTCTTGAACCTCTCAGGCTCTAATCCTTATACTACATATCGATCAAATAGTCACTCCTCATTTATGAATGTTTGGCACAGTTGGGCAGACTTTATCTGAATTACATGTGTGTGCATACATGACTTCAGCTGCTCCTAGCCCCCTTTAGGGCCTCTTAATCTCACTTAAAGGAGTAATATTTTGTATTTTTTTCCTTCCAGTGCTTCCTCATCTCTGCTATCGTCTTGTTGTTACTCTTCAATTGTTACCCTTCCCTTTCTGTGCTGCCTTTCCTTCATTCGCTTTTTTCTTTCTGCCCTCAGCTCAAACCCCTCAACCCAAATCTGAGCTCCTCATCTTCCTCTTACCCTAATGCCAACCTCTCTTTCACTCCCCTCTTAACCTCCTCCTCCCCAAACTCCTTCACACCACTTCATTGCTTTCTGGTTTTACCCCCTACCATTATGTCTTTCCTCCAACTCCCTCTCTCACTACTTGCTCTAATTCTGTCCTTTCTGCCTCTGCCTCTCCATCTCAATCTCCTCATCTCTCCACCACTTCTACTGCAGAGAGCACTAACCCCTGATATTGACAGTGAAGGATTCTTTCATCCTGCTTCACTCTTTTTATCTGCCCTCCTTGCTCCAACGCTAGTTGCTGCAGCATAACTGAAATGATTTGCACCTCCTCCTAATTTGTTCAGTTTACAGGGCGGTGACGAAGCTTTAGGTGGACACGTAATCACAATGAGAGCAACTCTAAAAGCTTATATTAAAAAAATCTGTGCTTTCCTCTTAAATGCATATGTTTGATATAATCATGCATTCCACCATGTTTTGGTAAACATATTTTTTTTCCAACTCTCTGGGCGGTCCTTCCTATGTGACAATGCGCTCGTAGTCGCAGATCTTTTGGCAACAGGGCGCACATGCTTCTGGGGAGTGTTTTTACACATTATGAATGTGTGAAGACTCCCAGAAATCGGAGAGGTTGGTCTAAAATAGTGTCACTGGTCACATAATTTCACCTTTTTTTTCCTGACTACCCTCTAAATGCTGGTTTTTAAACCACATATTACGTTCCACTATCTCTCCACCGTCTCCCCCACCAATAACAGGAAATGAAAACTGGGTCTCACCCATGATATTTGTGCTGAAGGAAACCGTCTCCCTCTCCCGACCATCATTATAGAAAGCCAAGTGCCAGGCACCAGCGTCCAGGTACTGGACAAACACCGCCTCATTGAGGACCACAGTTTGAATGCTCCTCCTCTCCCTTGGAGACTCCACCACGCTCCACTTTTCCTTCCCATCGAGGCGCTCCATGTAATCATACTGGAAAATTGTAAGAGAAAGAGAAATAGAATTTAGCATTCTGAAAACTGGTGCAGCACCTCTTATCACCTTTCTGTCTGACATGCTTAATTTCTAGAGCCTGTCTCTTTAAGCCCTGGCTCCCACAGGGCCGTATCTGCCCCGACTAGTCAGCTGGATGTTAAAAAATGAAGCGTAAAGCTGCGCAAGCTTTGTTTGTGGTGTGCTCAATTAGCTGTTTGGCAGGCGCTATGAAAAGGTTCTACATGTCGATGTAGATAAGTTAGGGAAGCCTGGACAACAGCCAAGCTGTTTGAGACATTTGAGAGCAGTGTCTCTTGTGGAAAAGAATAACTTCCTTTGATGTGGGCCTTGGGCTTTGCCACTTTGCACATATTTGAAATGCACAAAAGAGGAGAGAAAGGGGAAAAAAAAGAATATGAGCACTTTAAAGGCTGGATTTGCCATGGAAGCAAAACATTCGGTACACAGAGCTCATTGTGAGCTGTCTATTTGATTTTCTGGAAATATTGCAATAAGTTTTTTTAACTGTGGCCCTTTAGCCACCAGCTTAAGTTAGGCAAGACAATGAAACAGTCGTCAAGATGCAATTATCCCTTCCAACAAATCAAATACATTTTTAATTGAGTAGATTCTAATTAAATAGAGGCAGTAAAAGTTACATTACTGTGAAATTTAATTAAGTGTAAATCTTTTTCAAATGAGTTTTTTTCCCAAGCAGCTATTGTAATGATTCACAAATGAATTTTTAGATGTCTCACGAAACAAGGATGCTTTCCCTTTAATGCATTCTACATTAGTTGATGAAAATAAAGGTTGCTCCCTTCTCATGAATCTTTCATTATGAATTAAACAATGGCCTTTTGTTCCAAAGCCGCTCAGTCTGGACAGATTTTACCTGTGCGTGCGATGGAGGCAGGCCCTTGCGAATGTACACCCCAAACAGGGCATCCTTCCCGAGGGAGATGTTGAACTTGAGGAACTGGGGTTGGCTAAGGAAGAGCAGGGACCTCCAAAAGACTCCAGGAGGGACTTCCTGGGTCACCCGCCGCCCCACTTCAATGTTGCCAGTGTCTATGCTACTGTTCCGGCCTGCCCACGGACCTGGAGAGAGGGGAAAAGAAACTGCATAATCTGTGATTATAGGCATTGATTGCTGGAGTCAATAAGTAATCAACACAGTTTAATTGAAATGCTTAAAAAAAGAAAGAAATTCCTAGTCTTTTCTGGCACTGCGAATAGATAAGGGAATGGAAGATTAACCCATCTCTGAAATACAAAGATACAAGTTAAACACACTTTCATTTTCTTAAACAATATTTGGTTTGCCTTTTTTGTTTAGCATAATTTCAAATGGAGAAAAGAAAAACAAAAGACACAAGTTTTGAGAGCCCAGATAACTACTACGAAGTACTTTCTATTGCTTATTTGCACTTGTTTACATCTTTTCTTCAATTTTCAGATCTTTATACTCTAAATATTGCACCTCAAAACGTTTTTTAAAATGTATTTATCACAGTGTACCTTTATCAGCCTGAAATAGAGTTGCACTGAGCAACACCTGCACAAATAGAGAACTGTTCCTACATTTTAGAAAATCAGTAAATAAAAGCCTAAACAATTTTGATTATTTCTGGAAACAAGGCCTGTGAGAAGCAGTCAGAATTTATTATTTTTTTCTTTTACCAGTAATTCCTAAACCTTTGCCAAGGGGCATAATTGTTTTTTTCTCAAAATACGCCATCCATAACCTCAAGCCATTTGGAAATCAGGTCATCCTTTACATGCTCAGCTATACACACACACACACACACAAACACACACACAGGAATGTGTTGGCGGGACGCAAAATGACACCTTTGTCTCAGAGTCTACAGGACTGTGGACTTTGCTGACATGGCGCCTATAGCGACGGCAGGGACGAGATTCTCCGAGCAGACAAGGCAGATGGCCGCGCACACAGACAACACACAGAATCCTACAATCAGGTCAGCCATCTAACAGATACGTGCCAGGGCCCAGACAGAAAAAAAGGGCCGAGTGTGAGAGCGCATTTTTTTGTGCGAGTGAGAAACTGCGAGAAAATAAAAGCAACAGTGAGAAGAACAACGGCAGCATCTGGCCTAGACGGCTGGGGAAAACAACACAACAGCCCTCTCATTAATGCAGAATACAGACGGAGAGCTGCAGCCCACACACACCTTTGCTGTTCGCCGTGTGTTGCGGAGCCAGATCGAGCAAGTCAAAGGAGAACAGATAGAAAGAAAAAAAAACGCACGGGGGACTTTAAAGAGGAGGGTCGTGAGCGAAGGTGGTTTTACCTCGCCGCTGACTGAAACGAGAAACCCTGCTCCACACAACTCCACACAGGAGGTGCCGCTCAAACAGCACATGTGGGTGACGCAGCGCTGCAGCGTCACACCATAAATATTTTAGCTGTGCGTGTGCGTGCTTGGCAGGAAAAATCGGTTGGAGTGAGTTTCATACAGCACACGCCACTCTCAAAAGCCATCAAGGATTAGGGGCCGTCGGCAATTTTCTTATTTCCAACAAATCCAACAACGTGTAACGTTGCTCATAGAACAAAAAAAAGAGAAGCTTCCTACCCAGTCTGGTGCTTTCCAACTCCAACCACTTCAGTTCAGGCTGAATCTATCTTTAAGTTTTATTTCAGGGGTATAAAGTGATTCTGTGGAGAACTGCCGCTGTAGATTAATACACATTAGCATTCAGATTAGTATTAATAGCACCTGGGCGGTGTGGAGCGCATGGAAATTATTCAAAGTAGCCTGCAGTGTCGCCACTCATCATTTCTAATACCATCTCTAATAGTTTCTGAACAGCAATCGAGCTCCGTGGCACAGAGAAAAAAGCAAAATCAGTCTTGGGCTACCCACACCCATACACACACACACACACACAAACACACACACAATTCTTAAGAGATGAATTGATTGTTGATTTAGGTGTTTTTCTGTGATTTGCTGCAAGGAAAGGCATGGTTAATATGCAGCCTCATCCTTTTTGTGCTTCCACAGGTTGAGTGAGGATCCAGATGTGGGCGAAGTGCGCTTCATAGTTCATACCTCTCCCTCCAGAGGGCAGTGTGGCCACGTCACTGTTGACAGGCAGTCCGGCGCCCAGTCCGTTGTTTAACACGGGACCGTCGGAGGGCTTCAGCTGCCACGTCAGACCCAGCAAGTTGATGGCTGCACACAAAAAGGTAGAGAGCAAAGGTGTGAGGTGGGAGCTTTTGCGAGGGGCGGCTAAGGCTCTGCGGCGGGGGTCGTTCGATTTTGGACGGCGAACCGTCAGTTAGTCAAGGGAAGCAAGAGGAGCTGAAAGCTCATCAGGGGACCAGAACCTCTTAAGCTGGATCTGTCTATTATAAGCCTAATCCTGCAGCCATTACATACGCGTCTCTTTTATACCTCGGTTAGTAAATATCGATCAAAGAGTGGCTGGTAACCCAAAGCACACAAGTCCCACAAAACATTCGATTAAAACCCACCAAATATCTCCTTTCTTTTTCTCATTCACCGCCTCAGCGTCTCCCAACCATCATTCAGCATGACACCATCTTCTGCTTTTATTTGGGAGCCTTTACACCACCTCGCAGAGAGCAAGTGACAGATTGCTCTCTCAAGAGAGCGCTCCATGGCTCTCCTCTCCCTTCTCCTCTTTTGTCCTCCGTTGTGTTATTGTGTGCTGTCTGTGCGAGTCTGCTCGAGTGTGTTCGCTCTTCACTTTGTCAGCTCTTTACTCTCCCCATGTCTCCTCTCTCCTTAGCCTACTGCCAAACGTCTCCTCCCACCGAAAAACACAGATGAGAGGAAAACACTGAGCGCACAGTCTGTTCCCTAACTATGCGCGCAGTTACAAGTATGTTTTTGTTGGCTGTTGATGAGTATTTTTATTATTTTTTTTATCTCTAATGCTCCTGAACAATCCCTTGAACGCAAAACCAATAAACGGATCGTTTTGCACATGTCTGAACATATGGGATAATTGCACGGGTAAGGCACAGCGCACCTGGAAAACGGAGCGGGTTCATGAATCCTGGGATGTGTGCTCAGACAATGCGGTGTACAGAGATGTACAGTAGGGCTGTGTGGAGCGCATTATGCTGGTGTGATTGCACGCCTCTCAGCACCGGCCTTATCCCCGGCACACACACAGCACAAACACCTGCAACTGGAGCCCGAGAATCAATTTCTCTCTTGTCAAATTCTATCTTCACTTGCCGAGGGTTTGCACACACTCAGATGAGTGTAAAAGTTTTAGTAGAAGACGGAGACGGGGCCACAGGATCCGCTGCCGGTTGCAGGCTCACCCCCCCCCCCCCCCCCCCCCCCCCCCCCCCCATTTCTCCCTTTTTCTCTCTGTGTTTCATTGTTTTCCTTTTTTTATGTTCCATCTCTTCCCCCTGCCCCCCCACCCTCGCTTCCTGGTGAAAGGAAAGCGCTGACACCTTGGCTGCTGCCCGGTCTCCACTGTCAGCTCTTTTTTTTTTATTTCTCATGGCAGTAGGGGTGTGGTATGACGAAGAAATAAATAAGTGAAGAAAGAGAGAGAGAGAGAGAGAGAGAGAGACAGAGGGATGTGGAAGAGTACCCTCTCTGCTCCTTTTCTCTCATATCCACCTTTTGCCCTCTCCTCTTTAATCGTACTGACCTTCACTCCTCCTCTTTTCCTTTTAATTCTCCCTTTTTCTTCCGTCTTTTGCTTATCTTTGCTTATCCTTCCTTGTAGATAACACAGACCCGCAAACACACAGGCGCAGGCAAAGATGGTATCGCAGTGAGCTGTCGATAGAACGATCTCCTATTGAATCAGCTGGAGACAGTAGGCAATTGTGAATCTATTGTGACGGCAGTTTCAATCTAGGTCACCGCCAAGAAGGCATCAGACAGACCCAGGGTGAGCTTATTGTGTACGTCTGCTGATTGTGCTTATGTGACTGAGAGGGCCTGTGCACAAGCGTGCTCTCCCAAAATTAGTTTTCCTCCTCGATCTTTTCCTTTCTTCACTCCCTTCTTTTTCCTTAAAAAGGCTGTGAAGAGTTGACCAACAGATGGCACACTTACTCCTCAGTGACAGAGCACCCAAAAAAAACAAAACAAAGCTTTGTCAACAGGTTTTTTTTTTTCTTTCCTTTTTTGCACCAACACACAAGAAAGACAAAGACAGACGCTTGTTATCATACTTTTCCCCATCCTCCATCTTAACAACACTTCTTATCCTGTTAGGGTGTAATTTTAGCTAAAATGAAACTGCTGAAATTGATACATTTAGCCTAGTGTTGCCATAGTTTTTCTTTTTTTTTGCGGTTTCCTTTTTTTTCTTTCCCATAATTGCCATGATTACTGTTTTGAGCTGCATTTCAAGGCTTTATTAAGTGGCATGCCAATAGCGTATCTGAAAGGAAATCGACTGGGAGACATAGGAAGAAGAAGAGAGTTAGTCTGACCTGGGCTATGTTTTCTTTTTCATCCACATTCACATTTTATGTGCTCATCTTTGACAGATGGAGGCACAGACAAAGGGGCATGTACACAAACGCATATGGGAAGATCACAGAGGAGCACGTATTACAGGAAAACGTACCGGATTAAAAATAGATCAGGTACATCATTTCGTTTTTATGTAATCTCAATTCATAATTCAGAGGGGCAAAGTGCTCGCCTGTATCATCTACAAGAGACGGTATCTGAAAATGCGATGGCACGCTCAAGCCCACAAAAAATAAAAAAAGGAAAAAGATAGTGTACACCAGTGGAACAGAGATGAAAAGGAGGAGGTGATGTCCGGCGTTGGGGAGCGAGGGCAGCGGTCAGAAGCTCTTGGAGAAATTGTGAACAGGAGACGTGCGGGGAACAGAGAGAATACTGGAGAACAGCAACAGAGAGAATATTAAAGAACTCATAACATTTCCGCAAGGCTGCAAAAAGAACATGAAAACCGGCTACAGATGATGTCTCAGAGATGGTGGGAAGAGACGAATGTAGCCCTGCTATGGATAAAATGAGGGAGGAAGAAGATGGTGGCGAGTGAGGAAGAAAGATTTAAGGGATGAGCGGTCCTGCATTCATTGTTTTGGTAAGAAAAGGTGGTTGTGATTTGCCCTGTGACAATAAGTGTCTCACAACGCAGGCTTCAGATGTCAAATCTAAATCACACATCCATGCTTTGAGCAATGTTCATGGGCGTCCAGGTTAAAGGATTTGAATTGATTTCTGCGTGAAAGAAAAAATAAAATAACCAAAGACAGGGAAAGGTGACTTTGTGGACTCTGCACCGAATGTCCCCCGAGTGGAAAATATTGTATCATCATCATTCTGTTCTCTGGAACATGTTCCAATTGTTCAAATCCTCTCCTTATCTCTTGTTCTCTTCGGTCTGCCCCCATACTTCCCACCTCCATCTGCCTCAGATCAACCTTATCAACGCCTATTTACATGACAGCAACTGCAATTGAACCAGCTGTGATGCCGTTAATTGCACTGAAGACAGAGAATGACCTCTTGCATGTATTTGTATTTAATCTCTTGCGATGCATCTAAAATTGCTTAAAGAGCACATGCATACACACAGAGACAAAAAAACCCCAAACACTTTCATTTGGCTTCTCCCCTGGCCATCCTGATAAATGCATATTAACTGTTCTAATTCACCAGTAAATTAACAACTCTGACCTCAATTAGGACAGTAATTGTAGCCAATACCAGCCTCCCTATATTTGGCCCGGCTTCTAATCATTCCAGGAAGCCTTTTCCTTGCCTTTTTGCCATTTTAAATTTTTTTAAAACCTTTTGCTGCCACACCTCGTACTCCCCAATCTCCCTCACTTGGCTGCTTGATAGGCATTTAGGAATCTAAAACAAACACATGCACAAAAAAGAACCCCCCTGACAAAAAGCACTTTCCGTGTGTCTTTTTGTGCCACTTGCACCTTTCTGCCTGTGTCTGCAGCACAGGGGTGAGTATGCTAATATCTGAGAGACAGAGGAAAAAAACAGTGTGCTGCCTTCTGGGATATTATGTAAAATTTACCCCAAGATTTCCACTCATGTCATCTATAAATAAGGCCGCCAGCTTTCAGAGCAAAGTTCTGAAGATGCTGCTTGCCGAGGCCATTTGCAGACTCAGACAAAGGGAATGGGGGCGGCGGACGACTGCTGCCCTTGGGGGTCACATACTCTAAGAGACAATTTGTCTGCCTCCGAGTGTGGATGTGTGCGCGTATGCATTTGCGTATGCATGCAGCAAATTGCATGGTATTAACAACAAGCGCACAAAGCTGCAACCCCCGACGGGACCTGCTCATCCAGCTGATGCAACTGAACTGTAATTGACTGCAACACAAAAGGTTATGTGAGTCACTGGCAGCTCCCACCTGCACACAGACAGACGGCAACTCACTTAGTCGCACAGCCAAAATGGCTTCCTGGCTGGAGCTGAAATACTGACACGGCCCCTGCGCCGAAGGATTCGTGTGTTTGCGGGCACGCATGCTTTCATGCATGTGTCTGATTGGTTAAATGAAAAGAGACGTGCCTCTGAGTGATGTCCTCCTTTCTGAATCCTCATTTCCTCTTCAGATATCTGTGCCCTGACCCTCCCTCCACCCCATCTGCATCAACCCGCTCCGCCTCACCTCATCCCTCCCCACCTCACAGTCCTCTCCCTCTCATCGATCTGTATTAGAAACCGGATATGAGGAACTATGCTATCTTATCGCAGATCAGTGGGTGGGAGAGAATGAGTGAGGACGAAAGACACAGTGCATTTTGGAGGCCAAGAGATGAAGAAGCAGAAGGAAAATAAGAGACAGAGAGCGAACGGGAAGCACATTTTCCTTCACTTTGCCTTCAACCTTCTCCTGTCTGATGTACAGGACTAGGGTTGCCCAGTGGGCCTAATTGGACTGATGACAGGGTCCAGATAAGGCCCGGCTGATGAATAAAAGAGTGAGGAAATAAATGAATGGAATATGCGCGGGCCATATGAACACAATCAGTCAGGCTGCAAATCCAGTCCTTGTACACACGAAAAAGGACTGAATATTTCAAAGCGCATACAAAAACTCCAGGCGAAACAAACAAAGTCAAAGGGATGAATGCTACCACTTAAACAACTGTGCATTCTGCTTTGTATTACCTGACCGGAACAGATGACCCATTTATCCCTCATGGCGCAGATGGTATAGCACCTAGTGCCTGGTCCTGGCCATGCACTGCCCTTTTCCTGGACTGGCAGCGTGCGGTAAGATCCTAACCTTTATCGGTGCGACAGGCCCCGCTGCTGTGGACACACGCTCCACGTCTGATCCTTATGCCCA